TAAAAAAGCTTAAATTTTTATTCTTAAATATTTATATTGTATTTATTTTGTGTTATGTACTATATATGTTATTCTATTGCGTATTGTATGTTATAAATGATATATTTTCTATGTTTTAAATAATATATTTTATGTTATGAATAATGTATTCCATATTATAAATTACGTGGTTTATATTAAATATCGTAAATTATAGATTTTCTATTAGATTTGATTAAATATTTATTTGATGTTCTGTTTTATGTCGTTTATGTCGTGTTTTATGTCTTGATATTTCCACCTTTCCCGGCACTGTTATTGCAGGAAATAAATGGATGGGTGAAAATTTTAAAAACGAAAATAAAAATAAAAATAAAAATAAAAATAAAAATATTATATTAATACAAAAATAGAAATTATAAATATAAAAATAAAAATAAAAATAAAAATAAAAATAAATATAAATATAAATATAAATATAAAAATAAATATAAATATAAATCCCAAATCGGGAATTTTCTCGTGCATAAATCCCAACTCCCAAAAATCCCCAAAAAATCTGAAAAAAAAAAAATTTAAAAATTCCCAAAAATCCCAAACCAGCCCCGGGAAGCTCCGCGTTAATGGGTTCATTAATTAATGAATTCCGTAATTAAGGAGGCGCTGATGAGCAGCGCGGGATCCCGGGAATCCCGGGAGCGGGGGAGGGGCTCCCAAATTCCGTATTTTTATTCCTTTTTTTCATTATTTCATTAATTACTTGCATTTTCCAATTATCCAGTAATTAATTGGTGGTGTGGTGTCGGGGAAGGTTCTGTTGTGGTTTATTAATTTATTATTAATTCATTCATTAACGATTGTTCGATAATGGATTGGTTTGCTGCGCCCCGTTTTAATAAATATGCTTTAATTAATTATTGATTGATCTGTTATTGAATTCAAAGTTACAAATCCACGGGTGTGGCGGGGCCACCTCGGTGTCACTGACAGGTGTGACAGGGCAGGTGTGCAAAGGTGTCACACTCTGTGTCACACTCACCTGTGCGGAGGTGTCACCTCGGTGTCACTGACAGGTGTGCAGAGGTGTCACAGGTGTGCGAAGGTGTCACAGGTGTGCGAAGGTGTCACAGGTGTGCAGAGGTGTCACAGGTGTGTGAAGGTGTCACAGTGTGCAAAGGTGTCCCCAAATCCTCGGTGTCACCCACAGGTGAGCCAGCCCAGGTGTGTGGTGGTGTCACCTCGGTGTCACCCACAGGTGAGCCAGCCCAGGTGTGTGACAGGGTCACAGGTCCCTGTGTCACTCACAGGTGTGCAGAGGTGTCCCAGGTACACCCAGGTGTCACAGTGTGTCACACTCACCTGTGTGAGTGTCCCCAAATCCTCGGTGCCACTCACAGGTGTGCCAGCCCAGGTGTGTGAGAGGGTCACAGGTCCCTGTGTCACTCACAGGTGTGCAGAGGTGTCCCAGGTACACCCAGGTGTCACAGTGTGTCACACTCACCTGTGTGAGTGTCCCCAAATCCTCGGTGCCACCCACAGGTGTGCCAGCCCAGGTGTGTGAGAGGGTCACAGGTCCCTGTGTCACTCACAGGTGTGCAGAGGTGTCCCAGGTACACACAGGTGTCACATCCTGTGTCACACTCACATGTGTGACGGGGTCACGGTTCTGTGTCACTCAGGTGTGCAAAGGTGTCCCAAATCCTCGGTGTCACTCGGGTGTGACAGGGCAGGTGTGTGACGGGGTCACAGGTCCCTGTGTCACACTCACCTGTGTGAGTGTCCCCAAATCCTCGGTGTCACCCACAGGTGAGCGGAGCTGCCCCCCGTGCCAGGCGCACTCAGAGGAAAACCCTCCCAATTTAAATTAAAATTTAAATCCATTCACAGTCCCGGGTGGCAGCAGGGGGTTCCTGCGGGGCCGGAGCTCCGGGGTCGCGCTCCAGCCCCGAGCCCTGGGACTGAAGGGGAGAGCCCGGCCTGGAGCCTCGGGAGAGGGCCCGGAAGGACCCGAAAGGGGCCAAAAGGAGCCAAAAAGGACCCAAAATGAACCAAAATGAACCAAAATGAACCAAAAAGGACCCAAAAGGACCTGAAATGAACCAAAATGAACCAAAGGGCCTCAAAAGGACTCAAAATGAACCAAAAAGGCCCCAAAAGGACCCAAAATGAACCAAAAGGACCCAAAAGGACCCAAAAGGACCCAAAATTAACTAAAAGGACCCAAAAGGCCCCAAGAGGACCTGAAAGGACCCAAAAGGAACCAAAATGACCCAAAAGGATGCAAAATGAACCAAAATGAATCAAAATGACCAAAAATTACCCAAATGACCTGAAAAGACCCCAGAAGGCCCCAAAATGCCCCAGAAGGCCCAAAAATGCCCCAGAAGGCCCCAAAATGCCCCAAACCGAAGGAAGGGGCGGGAAAAGCCAAGGGAGATGAACGGGGGATGGGAACGGGGCCCCTCCGATGGTTGGGGGTCGTGGCACCCCAAAACCGGGAATTCCCGGGAATGGGAACGGGATACTGGGGATGGGATTGGGATTGGGACACTGGGAATGGGGACAAGGAACAGGAATGGGATACTGGGAATGGGATTGGGGACAGGGAACGGGAATGGGATACTGGGAATGGGACACGGGGAATGGGATTGGGAATGGGATGGGATATTGGGAATGGGGGTGGGCACTGGGAAAGGACAGGAAAAGGGGACAGGGATGGGGACACAGGGAATGGGGACAGGGAATGGGAATGGGATACTGGGAATGGGACACCGGGAATGGGATTGGGAATGGGATGGGATATTGGGAATGGGGGTGGGCACTGGGAAAGGACAGGAAAAGGGGACAGGGATGGGGACACAGGGAATGGGGACAGGGACAAAGGGAACGGGAACGGGAACAGGAATGGGAACGGGAACGGGAATGGAATGGGATGGGATTCAGGGAATGGGGACAGGGATGGGGACAGGGAATGGGGACAGGGACCGGAGGAGCCCCCTCGGGTGCCCGGAGCAGATTTTCCATCCCGGATCCCCCCTGGATCCCCCCTGGATCCCCCCGGGGTCCCCAAATCCACCTCGATCCCTTCCCCCATCCCTTCCCCCATCCCGGATTTCAAACCCTAAAAATTCCCATTTTAACTCGGCCCAAACTTTATCTTTTCAGCCCTGGTTTGTTCGCCCTGATCGTCGTCACGAATCATTAATTTTATCATAAATTCAATTCATTTCCTCGCACTTTTGGGCGGGTTTGGAGGGGATTTGGGGCTTCAATAAAAACCCACCAGCCACGGAAATAAAACAAACTCACACCGAGCGCTTTTATTGACCACTGAGACCGTCACAGAACGCACCAAAATTCCCTTTTTATTGCAGTTCACAATGAGCAGGAGGGGGGGAAGTCAATCATTCCAGTTTTTCATTTTTTCTGCTCGAAAAACACAAAAAACCACCACAAAACCCCCTCAGAGCAGCTTTTTGGGGCAAATAAATTGAATTTTTGCCTTTTTTGCTCCCTCGGGGCTGTGGTTTTTTAGTTTCTTGCCCCTCCCTGCCCCCAAAATTGAGATTTTTCAGCTTTTTTTTTTGCCCCCCTCGCCAAAATTTGGCGGTTCCTGTGCATTTGGGGGGAAAAAAACCCACAATATTTTGGTTTATTTTGAATAATTTTTGTGTTTTTCGCCATCCAACCCCCCCAAGGTTTTCCCTCAACCCCCCCCAGGTTTCCTGCACCCCGAAATAAATAAAAAATAAATAAAAAATAAATTAAAAATCAATAAAAACGAAATAAAACCCTGAAAAAGGGGTGAAAAACCCGTTTTTGGAAAGTTCCTCCAGGTGCGGCCACCTGGGCTCATGCGACCTCCGACATGCAGCTAAAAATGGGCGGGGTTAATTAAATAATTATTAAAATAATTAAATATTATTAATCCTGCTCGGGGGAATTTAAAGCGGGGTCGAGCTTTAACACGCACAGGGGATTAATAAAATAATAATTAAAGTAATTAAATATTAACAGTAAGCGGGAGAATTTAGAGGGGTCAAGCTTTGACACGCACAGGGGATTAATAAAATAATAATTAAAGTAATTAAATATTAACAGTAAGCGGGAGAATTTAGAGGGGTCAAGCTTTGACACGCACAGGGGATTAATAAAATAATAATAATTAAAAGAATTAATGAATAATGATTGGGAGAATTTAAAGAGGGGTCGGGTTTTGACACACGGGGGATTAATAAAACAATATTAATAAATAATAATTAAAAAATAATTTAAAAATAAGAGGGGAACTTAGGGTCCAGTTTTGACACGTAGGGGGGATGAATAATAATAATAATAATAATAATAATAATAATAATAATAATAATAATAATAATAATAATAATAATAATAATAATCCCTTTTTAAAAGCTGCTTTTTGGCACCCACAGGGGGCTTAATAAAATAATAATATTATTAATAATGATAACAATAAAATACCAACAGCAAGGGGAGAATTCCTCGCACCCCGAGGCCAAAACCCCCCAAAAGAACACAAAAACCCCAAATATAGAGATTTATATATTAGAATCTATCCAAGCCAGAGTCCCCGCACGGCGCGGATTTTTGGGCTGGGAAATTCGGATTTTTCCTCAAAACCTGGGCGGAAAATCAGAATTTCTGTTCCAATCTGGGTGGGAAATCGGAATTTCCGTTCTAATCTGGGTGGGAAAATGCGAATTTTTGAAATCTCCCATCCCAGCTCGTGCGGAAACCCAACTCCCGCTACAACCGGGAGGAAAATCCGAATTTTTTGCTTTTTTTCCTTATAACCTGGGCAGAAAAATCCGAATTTCCGCTGCAACCAGGGCAGAAAAATCCGAATTTCCGCTCCAATCAGGGTGGAAAAAATCGGAATTTTTCCGAATTTCTCCCGCACAGACCCGAAACCCCCCCATTACAACCCGGGCGGAAAATCCGAATTTGCACCACAAGCGGACAGAAAAATCCGAATTTTCCGAGTTTTCCACTATAACCCGGGCAGAAAAATCCGAATTTTTCGAATTTCCGCTCGAACCAAGGCAGAAAAATCGGAATTTCTGCTGCAACCAAGGCAGAAAAATCCGCATTTCCGCTCCAACCCTTGCAGAAAAACCCGAATTTTTCGAATTTCGGCTCCAACCCGGGCAGAAAAATCCGAATTTTCCCAATTTCGGCTCCAACCCTTGCAGAAAAATCCGAATTTCTGCTACAACCAAGGCAGAAAAATCGGAATTTCCGTTCCAACCCTCGCAGAAAGCCCCGAATTTTTCCAATCTGGGCTCCGACCCTGGCAGAAAACCCCGAATTTTCCCAATCTGGGCTCCGACCCTGGCAGAAATCCCGAATTTTCCCAATCTGGGCTCCGACCCCGGCAGAAATCCCGAATTTTCCCAATCTGGGCTCCGACCCCGGCAGAAATCCCGAATTTTCCCAATCTGGGCTCGGACCCCGGCAGAAATCCCGAATTTTCCCAATCTGGGCTCGGACCCCGGCAGAAATCCCGACTTTCCCCGAGCCGGGCTCGAACCCGCGCCGCGCGGCGCTCCCGTCACAAGCGCGTGATGTGCTCGGCGCGCTCGGCGGGCTCGGCGGGCGCGGGCGCCGCGCGGCTCTTGGTGTTGGGCAGTTTGTGATCCTTCTTCCACTTCATGCGGCGGTTCTGGAACCAGATCTTGATCTGGCGCTCGCTCAGCACAGGTGGGTGTTTGGGGGAAAAGGGGGAAGAATTGTAGCGGGATGTTTGGGGGAAATAGGGGGAAAAAGGGAAAAACGGGGGAAAAGGAAGGGAAATTTTAGGGGGTGTATGGGGGAAAAGCGGGGGGAAAAGGGGAAAATGTATAGGGGGAATAAAGGGGGGATTAAAGGGAAAAAAGGGGGGAAAAGGGGGAATAAAGGGGGAATTAAAGGGAAAAAAGGGGAAAAAGGGGGAATAAAGGGGAGATAAGGGCGGAAAAAGGGGGAAAAAGGGGGAAATGTGCAGAGGGAGTAAAGGGGGGAATATAGGGAGGGAAAGGGGGGAAAGAGTAAAAAATAGGATTAAAAAAATCAAATTAATAGCAAAAAACCCCACCAAAAATCAGGTTAATAGAAAAACAAATACGGTGAAAAAAAAAACCAGATTAAAGTGAAAGAAAAACGCGTAAAAATCGGGTTAACAGAACAAAAAAAAAAACAAAAACCGGAAAAAAAAAAAAAACAGATTAAAGCGAAAGAAAAACGCGTAAAAATCGGGTTAACAGAACAAAAAAAAAAAAAAAAAAAAAAACAGGAAAAAACCGGGTAAAAAAAAAAAAAAAAAAAAAACAGGAAAAAACCGGGTAAAAAAAAAAAAAAAAAAAAAACAGGAAAAAACCGGGTAAAAAAAAAAAAAAAAAAAAAACCAAAAAAAAAGGAAAAAAGGAGATAAACAGGAAAAAATCAGGAGAAGGGGAAAAAAAAAGTGAGAACAAGTCAGGTTAACAGGAAAAAGCGTGTGGAATAAAACACGCAGAAAAATGAGGGTAAAACAAAAAAAAACCAGACAAAAAAAATCAAGGACAACAGGAAAAAAATGCAGTAAAAATGAGGTTAAAAGGGAAAAAATATAGGAATAAAAATTAAGGTTAACAGGGAAAAAAAGGCAAAAAAAAAAAGAGGTTAACAGAAAAATAAATAGGCAGAAAACAGGTTAAGAGAAAAAATACTAAAAAATAATCAGGTTAATGGAAAAAAATCAGGGTGAAAAAATAAAATAAATAAATTTTGAAAAATTAAATTAAATCAATTAAGGTAATCAGAAAAAAAAGGCCGAAAAATTGAATTAATGGGCAAAAAAAACAGAGCAAAACATCAAATGAACAGAAAAACACTGCGAATATTCAGATTAACAAAAAAAGGACCAAAAAAAGGCAAATACGGGAAAGCTCCGTGCCAAATAAAGCAAATAAAGCAAATAAAGACCAAAAAGCTCCCAGAAAAATCATCAAATGAGCAGAGAAAAACACGGCGGGGAAAGAAAACAAAAGCAGAGGAAAAAATTAAATAAACAAAAAAATTTACAAAGAAAATAAATAAATAAAGAGAAAAACAAGACAAAAAAGAAAAAAACAAAGGAAGGAAACAAAAAAATCACAAACACAAAATTTAAATATATAAAGGCAGGAAAGGGGAAGGAGAAAAAAGCCAACGGACAAAAGAAAAAGCGTAGAAAAATTCAAAAATTAATAAATAAACGGTGGAAAGGAGAAGAAGAAAATGCAATGGACAAAAAAAACGGGGAAAAAATTAAATTAGCAGTTAAAAAATAAAGAAAGAAAGAAGAAAAGGAGAAGGCGAAGAAAAGGACAAAAGAAAAAGCGTGGAAAAATTCAAAAATTAATAAATAAAGGGTGGAAAGGAGAAGAGGAAAATGCAATGGACAAAAAAAACCGGGAAAAAAAATTAAATTAGCAGTTAAAAAATAAAGAAAGAAAGAAGAAAAGGAGAAGGCGAAGAAAACCCGGAAAAATTAAATTTAAAAATAAATAAATAAGGAAGGGAAGGAGAGGGAGAAAGAGACACGATGGGCAGAATAAACCAGAAAAAAATTAACTACAAATTTCAAAAAATTAAATAAAGAAGCAAAGGAGAAGGAGAAGAAAAACCAATGAATTTTTTTAAAAAAAAATTAACAAACGGGGAAAAAATAACATTAAATAAATAAATAAAGAAGAAAAGGAGGAGGAGAAGAAGAAAACCCAACGCACCAAATCCACCAAAACCCCCAAATTCAACCCAGAAAATCCTCCAAGACACCCCAAGGAGGCCCCAGGAACAGGAGGAGCCAACCCCAAAATCCCGATTAAAAACCCCAAAAATCGGCACCGAGGGCTCGGGGCAGCGCGGGCTCCCCCGGCTGGGAAAAAGTGAATTAAAAATGGATAAAAACAATTAAAAATGGATAAAAATGAATCAAAAGGTGAATAAAAATGAATAAAAAGAAAATAAAAATGAATAAAAAGTGAATGAAAAAGTGAATAAAATGAATTAAAAATGAACAAATAAGTGAATCGAAAAGTGAATGAAAAAGTGAATAAAATGAATTAAAAATGAGCAATTAAAAATGGATAAAAATGAATAAAAAGGTGAATAAAAATGAATAAAAAATGAATAAAAAATGAATAAAAAATGAATAAAAAGTGAATGAAAAAGTGAATAAAATGAATTAAAAATGAACAAATAAGTGAATCGAAAAGTGAATGAAAAAGTGAATAAAAAAATGATCGCAGAAGTGAATAAAAAAGGGAATTTTTTAGAGAAGTGACCATAAACCAGCGGCTCAAGTAGCGAATGGAAGAGGGAAAAAAGCCGCTAAAAGGTGAATAAATTCTTGCGGGATCCCGCGGCCATAAAAGCGAATTTATGGCCGGGGTAATGAGGCGCTGGCAGCCGTAAATCCGCTCCGCTGGGCTCGCCCGCGGCGGGGAAATCCCAAAAAATCCCAATTACGGGGCCGGAAAAAAGGGAATTTGGGGGGGCAGAGTGGGGGCAAAAAGGAAAATAAAGGGAATTTTAGTGGGGGAAACCGAAGGGGAAATAAAGTTATTTTTTAATGGAGAATTGGGTGAGGGTGGGGAGGGAAATGAGTGAAAAAAGGGGAAATAAAGTGAATTTTTGATGGGGAATGGGGTGAAGATGGGGAGGGAAATCGAAGGGAAATAAAGTTATTTTATAGTGGAGAATTGAGTGAGGCTGGGGAGGGAAATGAGTGAAAAGGGGGGAAATAAAGTGAATTTTTGATGGGGAATGGGGTGAAGATGGGGAGGGAAATCAGGTGCGGAGATGAAAATAAAGTGAATTTTTAGTGGGGAATGGGGAGGGAAATCAAAGGGAAATAAAGTTATTTTATAGTGGAGAATTGAGTGAGGGTGGGGAGGGAAATGAGTGAAAAAGGGGGGAAATAAAGTGAATTTTAAACAGAGAATAGAGTGAAAATGGGAGGGAAATCGGGCACAAAAGGGGGAATAAAGTGAATTTCGAGCAGAGGATGGGGAGGGAAATCAGAGCTGAAAATAAAGTTATTTTTTAATGGAGAATTGAGTGAGGATGGGGAGGGGAAAAGTTCTTTTTTTAGTGAGGATGGCGCGGAAATCCGAGGAAAAATAAAGTTATTTTTAGCAGGGAGGATGGGGAGGGAAAAGACGCACTGAGGTAAAAACAAAGTTATTTTTTTAGGATGGGGAGGAGAAATAAAGTTGATTTTTGAGGAGAGAAAAGAGCGAGGACGGCGCAGGAAAACAAAGGGAGAAATAAAGTTATTTTTCAGCGGGCACGGAGAGGGGATGGTGCGGGGAGCGAGGCGGGAGCAGGAGAAAAAAGGGAATTTTTGGCAGAGGGGAGAGCGAGGATGGCCAGGAAATCAAAGGCGGGGGAGGAGAAATGAAGTTAAATTTTAGCTGGGGCAGGGCGAGGAACCAAAGGGAAAATAAAGTTATTTTTTAACAGAGTGAGGATGGGCAGGGAAATCAAAGGCAGGGGTGAAAATAAAGTTGTTTTGAGCAGAGAGAGTGAAAACCGTGCAGGAAACCAGGAAAAATAAAGTTATTTCTTATCAGAGAGAGGGTGGGGAGGGAAAACAAAGGCAGAAATAAAGTTACTTCTGAATAAAGTGAGGGAATGAGGGAAAACAAAGCAAAAATAGTGTAATTTCTGAATAAAGTGGGGATGGGGAGGGAAAACAAAGGCAAAAATAAAGTTATTTCTGAATAAAGTGAGGATAAGGAGGGAAAGCAAAGGCAAAAATAAAGTTATTTCTGAATAAGTGAGGTGATGAGGGAAAGCAAAGGCAGAAATAAAGTTATTTCTGAATAAAGTGGGGATGGGGAGGGAAAACAAAGCAAAAATAAAGTTATTTCTGAATAAAGAAGTGGGGATGGGGAGGGAAAACAAAGCAAAAATAAAGTTATTTCTGAATAAAGTGAGGTGATGAGGGAAAACAAAGCAAAAATAAAGTTATTGCTGAATAAAGTGGGATGGGGAGGAAGGCAGAGGCGGGGGGAATAAAGTTCTTTTTGAGCAGAGGATGAGGATGGTGCTCGAAGAAATCCAAGGCGAAAATGAAGTTATTTCTCATCCGAGTGAGGAAGATGAGGGAGATCAAGGCCGGACCCAAAGTTCCTTCTGAGCGAAGTGAGGATGATGAAGGGAACCGAAGGCAGAGGGGGAATAAAGTGAAATTTGAGCAGAGGAGTGAGGAGGGAAAGCAAAGCTGAAAGTGAATTCTGTCCGAGCAGAGGAGTGAGGATGATGAAGGAGCCGAAGCCACCCCCAAAGTTAATTCCGCACGGAGTGAGGATGATGAAGGACCCGAAGCCAACCCCGAAGTTAATTCCGCACGGAGTGAGGATGATGAAGGAGCCGAAGCCAGACCCAAAGTTAATTCCGCACGGAGTGAGGATGATGAAGGACCCGAAGCCAGACCCAAAGTCCTGCCCAGCGATGCCGCAGGGAGCCAGGCCGGCCCGCCGAGCCCCAAAACCCGCAGGTTTTTCCCCAGCCCGGAGTTTTCCCCCCCAGTCCCGGAATTTTCCCCAAAACCCGGAGTTTGTTTTCCCCGATCCCGCAATTTTTTCCCCAATCCCTGACTTTTTCCCTTCGGAGTTTACCTCAAACCCGAAGTTTTGTTTTTTGTTTTTTTGCTTTTTTTTCACAGGAGTTTTTTTTTCCCCAGAATCCCTTTTCTTTTTTCCCCCAATCCTTTTTTTTTCCCCCAATCCTTTTTTTTTTTCCCCTCCCCAATCCCGGGGTTTTTTCCCCCTTCAATACGTTTTTTTTTTCCCCCAATCAGTTTTTTTTTTCCCCAATCCTTTTTTTCCCCCCATCCTTTTTTTTTTTCCCCTCCCCAATCCCGGGGTTTTTTCCCCCTTCAATACGTTTTTTTTTTCCCCCAATCCTTTTTTTTTTCCCCTCCCCAGTCCCGGGGTTTTTTCCCCCTTCAATCCGTTTTTTTTGCCCCAATCAGTTTTTTTTTTTCCCCCAATCCTTTTTCCCCCGAATCCAGGTTTTTTTTCCCCAATCTGTTTTTTCCCCAATCCGTTTTTTCCCCAACCCCTTTTTCCCCCAATCCAGTTTTTTCCCCCCGATCCAATTTTTTCCCCCCGATCCAGTTTTTTTCCCCCAATCCCTTTTTTCCCCAATCCTTTTTTTCCCCAATCCTTTTTTTCCCCAATCCCTTTTTTCCCCAATCAATTTTTCCCCAATCAATTTTTCCCCCCAATCCTTTTTTTCCCCAATCCCTTTTTTCCCCAATCAATTTTTCCCCAATCAATTTTTCCCCCCAATCCTTTTTTTCCCCAATCCCTTTTTTCCCCAATCAATTTTTCCCCAATCCCTTTTTCCCCAAATCCTTTTTTTCCCCAATCCCTTTTTTCCCCAATCAATTTTTCCCCAATCAATTTTTCCCCCCAATCCTTTTTTTCCCCAATCCCTTTTTTCCCCAATCAATTTTTCCCCAATCCCTTTTTCCCCAAATCCTTTTTTTCCCCAATCCCTTTTTTCCCCAATCAATTTTTCCCCAATCAATTTTTCCCCCCAATCCTTTCCGCCCGCCCCGCGGAGCCCCGCGCAGCCGAAGGGGCGCTCGGGGAAGGCGGCCCCGAACGCCGGGGCGGGCTGCGCGCAGCCCGGCTCCCGCCGCGCGTAGAACTCCGCGCCGGGCTCGGGGATGTAGCTGCTCTGCGAGTACTCCTCGCACGGGGGGAACTTGGGGTCGATGTAGTTCGAGTCCATCAAATAAGAGCTCATGATCATTAATTTCTGGAGTGGGAAATAATTTTTCTCGCCGTGTCGTTTTTCTGCTCCATAAAGCCCTCCTCCCCGCGGCCGCCCCGCAAAGTTTCTTTCACCATGTGACGGCCGCGGCCAATCGCGCCCGGGCCGCGGGCCCCGGATCAGGAACCCAAAGAGGAGAGAAATTCACCCAAAACGGGGGGGCTCACGTGGGAGGGACGGGGCAGCCACGGGGACCCGGATCGGGCGGCGGAAGGGGCGGAAAATCCACCAGAGCCGGGTGGGAGGAGAGGGAGGAGAGGGGAGAGCCCGGAGAGGGGGCAGGGAGGAGAAAATCCCTGAAATTCACCCAAAATGTGATGGGAAACATTGGGGGGTGAGGGGAGAGCCCGGAGAGGGGGCAGGGAGGAGAAAATCCCTGAAATTCACCCAAAATGTGATGGGAAACATTGGGGGGTGAGGGGAGAGCCCGGCCTTTTTCCCCAAATCCTTTTTTTCCCCAATCCCTTTTTTCCCCAATCAATTTTTTCCCCCCCAATCCGTTTTTTCCCTCAATCCGTTTTTTTTCCCCAATCCTTTTTTTTCCCCCAATCAGTTTTTTTTCCCCAATCCGTTCTTTTTCCCCAATCCATTTTTTTCCCCCAATCCTTTCCCCCCCCCAATCCTTTTCCCCCCCAATCCTTTTTTCCCCCCCATCTCCTACCCCTGCTGACGTGGATTTTCTTCATCCAGGGGTAGACCACGGGCGCCTTCCCCGCGGCCCCGCGCTGCCCCTCGGGCTCCGCGCACGCCGCCGGCCCGGGGGGCTCGCAGAGCGGCGGCTTCTCCGCCAGGAGCTGCCTCCCTCCTCCTCCTCCTCTTTTTTCCCCCCCATCTCCTACCGCTGCTGACGTGGATTTTCTTCATCCAGGGGTAGACCACGGGCGCCTTCCCCGCGGCCCCGCGCTGCCCCTCGGGCTCCGCGCACGCCGCCGGCCCGGGGGGCTCGCAGAGCGGCGGCTTCTCCGCCAGGAGCTGCCTCCCTCCTCCTCCTCCTCCTCCTCCCCTGGAGCATCCAGGAGCTGATTTCCTCTGGAAAACTCCTCCTGGGATCACATAACCCCTGCAGAGTCAGCCAGGCTTGTTCCTCCCCCGAAGCAGCTGCAGAGCAGAAACACATTGAGAAATTAAATCAGGGGATGAAAACTTGGCTGCCCCATCCCAGCTGTTCCGAGGAGCAAGGACATCCCTTAAAATTTCCTTCAAACCAGGAAAAAACAAGCTTATTTTGAGAAGTTTCACATGGTGGGAGCTGCTTAGGAGATGCTGAGGTTTAAGAGAGGAACCAGATTTTAAAGGTTTAGGGCCTTCTTCATGCCAAATTTGTTCAGTTTTGGGGTTTTCTTTAATTGCAGCGAGCAAAACCTCATTGTGATGGAGAACGGTGGGAGGGTGAGGGGAGAGCCCAGAGACGGGGGGAGGGAGGAGAAAATCCGTGAAATTCACCCCAAATGTGACAGGGAACAGTGGGAGGGGGATTTGGGGCAAGGGGAGAGCTCAGGCCAAAGATCAGGGAGCGGAAATTCCACCAAATTCACCCAAAATACGACAGGGATGAGTGGGAAGGCGAGGGGTTAACTCAGGTCAGGGACAAGGGAGCAGAAACGCCATAAAATTCACCCAAAATGTGCTGGAGAACAGTGGGAGGGGGATTTGGGTCAGGGGAGTGCCCAGAGCTGGGATAAAGGAGAGAAAATTCCATGAGATTCACCCAAAATGTGCTGGAGAACGGGGGGAGGTGAGGGGAGATCCCAGAGCGGGGATAAGGGAGCAGAAATGTCATAAAATTCACCCAAAATGTGATGGGAAACAGTGGGAGGGCGAGGGGTGAACTCAGGCTGTGGATAAGGGAGCGAAAATCCCACAAAATTCCATAAAATCCCACAACATTCCATAAAATCCCATAAAATTCCATAAAATCCCACAAAATTCCATAAAATCCCACAACATTCCATAAAATCCCATAAAATTCCATAAAATCCCACAAAATTCCATAAAATCCCACAAAATTCCCCAATTGTGATGGGGATGAGTGGAAGGGAGATTTGGGGTGAGGGCAGAGCCCAGGCCAAGGACCAGGAACCGAAATCCCCCCAAATCCCCCCAAATCTCCACCGGGGCCAAGGAGCCAGCCCAGCACTGGAGAAGGGAGAAAAAAACCCTAAAATCGCCCCAAATGTGGGAGTTGGGGCGGGTTGGGATGGTTTGGGGGGATTTGGGGTGGTTTGGGATGGGTTTGAGGTGAGTTTGGGGTGGTTTGGGGCTTGAGTTTGGGGTTTGAGTTTGGGGTTTGAGTTTGGGGTGGTTTGGGATGGGTTTGAGGTGAGTTTGGGGTTTGAATTTGGGATGAGTTTGGGGTGATTTGGGATGGGTTTGGGGTTTGAGTTTGGGGTTTGAGTTTGGGGTGGTTTGGGATGGGTTTGGGGTGAGTTTGGATGGGTTTGGGGTGAGTTTAGTTTGGGATGAGTTTGGAGTGGGTTTGGGGGGATTTGGGGTGGTTTGGGATGGGTTTGGGGTGAGTTTGGGGTGAGTTTGGGTTGAGTGAGTTTGGGATGAGTTTAGGGTTTGAGTTTGGGGTGGTTTGGGATGGGTTTGGGGTGAATTTGGGGTGAGTTTGGGGTGAGTGAGTTGGGGGTGAGTTTGGGGATTCTTTTGGGATGATTTCAGATGCATTTGGAAGGATTTAGGATGGGTTTGGGTTGGTTTGGGGTGGTTTACGTGGATTTAGGGTGGATTTGAGATGAGTTTGGGATGGGTTGGGGTGGTTTGGGATGGGTTGGGATGGGTTGGGATGGTTTGGGATGGAGTGAGTTTGGGATGATTTGGGATGGGTTTGGGATGGGTTGGGATGGTTTGGGATGGGTTGGGATGATTTGGGATGATTTGGGATGGTTTGGGATGGGTTGCAGAGGTTTGGGGTGGCCTTGGGGTGGTTTGGGATGATTTATGTGGATTTAGGGTGGGCTTGGGGTGATTTAGGGTGGTTTTGGGGTGGTTTAGGGCGTGCTGTGGGTATTTTGGGGTGCTTTGGGCTGGTTGGGGTGGTTCGGGGCAGCTTGGGGTGGACTTGGGGCTGTTTGGGGTGGATTTGGGGTGGTTTGGGGTGGTTTGGGGTGACTTGGGGTGGATTTGGGGCTGTTTGGGGTGGTTTGCAGTGGATTTGGGGTGGTTTGGGGTGGTTTAGGGCGGATTTGGGGTGGCTTGGGATGGTTTTGGGGTGGATTTGGGTGAGTTTTGGGTTTTGGGGTGGCTTTGGGACAGTTTGGGGTGGGTTTGGGTGTCTCGGGGCCGTTTGTTTGGGTTTCGGGTTGTTTGGGGCTCTCTGGGATATTTTGGGGTGGTTTAGGACACTTTGGGGGATTTTGGGGTGGTTTGGGACACTCCAGGCTGGCTTTTGGGGGATTTTGGGAACTTGGGGCCGTTTTGGGGCCTTTGCGGTGCTTTTGGGATGCTTTGGGCGCTTTTGGCGCTCCTTTGTGCATTTTGGGGCACTTTGGGGCATTTTGGGGCAATTTTGGCCCTTTTGAGGCGCTTTTAGGACACAGAAAAATCCCCCCCTTCCCTCCCCAACCCCACTGACCCCAACCCCCCCCTAAACACCCCCCAAAAATCCGAATTTTCGGGGATTTCCGCGGCTCCCGCTGGGAATCCCAACCCCCCGGGACCCCAGCGATTTTTGGGAATTTTTTAGGGATTTTTTTAGGGTTTTTTTAGGGTTTTCCATCCCCCCGAGGCCTCGGGGTGAACAATTATCCCAGAAAAAAGCCCTTTCCCGGCCATATTTTACCCGCTAACAATAAAAGTGACACATAAAGTTAACTGTTTATGTTTTATTTATTAGCCCTAAATGTGCCAGCGGTGGCGGAGGCTTTGGGGCTGCTTGTTCCAGCTTTTTATGGGGTTGTAAAAAGCCATAAATCACTCACGGGAGCTCTTTTGTGCTCTCCCGGCTCGCGTTGCTTTTTTTTTTATTAAAAAAAAAAAGTTAAAATTAAAATGGGATTTTATTTGGATTTCCCCCCCTCCATTTCGGGGATTTAAAGGGAAAAAAAAAATTTAAATGAAAATGGGATTTTATTCGGATTTTTTTCCCCCTGTTCGGGGATTTAAAGGAGAGGGAAATTAAATTAAAATGGGATTTTATTGGGGCTTCCCCGCTTTTTTTTTTTTTTTACCTCATAAAAGAAAAAAAAATAATTCAAACAAAAATAAAATTTTATTGGGGATTCCCTTCTTTCGTTCCTCGTTACGTCGCGCCTCGCCCGACGTTTATTTTTAATTTTTAATTGTCATTAACGAGGTGGGATCCAAGCGCCTCGATGACGTCAGCGGGCAGGGATTAATTAGGGACGGCCGCAATTAAAAAAGGGCGATGGGAGCCTCCCTGGATTTGGGGCTTTTTTCCCTGGATTTGGGATTTTTTATCCCCTTGAATTTGGGTTTTTTTCCCCCAAAATTTGGGGGGTTTTCCCCCTAAATTTGGGGATTTTCCCCCCTCCGGGTTTGGGGTTTTTTCCCTAAATTTGGGGCTTTTTGCCCTCTAGATTTGGGGTTTTTCCCCTCAATTTGGGATTTTTCCCTCCTGGATTTGGGGTTTCCCCTCTCCCCGTATTTGGGGTTCTTTCCCATAAATTTGGGGCTTTTCCCCCAAAAATTTGGGGGTTTTTTTCCCCTAAATTTGGGGTTTCCCCCCTGGATTTGGGATTTTTTGGGTTTTTTTGTGGGGATTCTCCCCAAGCATCTCCAATTCCCGGCAGGTCCCCACCAAACCACAAATCCTGAATTTCCAGGCACGAACTGGGGAAAATCCGGGAGATTTTGGGGCCAAGGGATGGGGAAAAAATAAATCCGAGATTAAAAAATGCACAGAACCCACCCCACCCCCAAAAACCCGGATTTTCACCCCAATAAATCCATTTTTTATGGCTCCGGCTCCATCCCAAGGCTGGATAAAGGGAATTTTCCCATCCCAATAAATCCCAGGAACCCCATAAATAAATAATCCCACAAACAAATATCCATAAATAAACACCCAG